AACACCGAAAGCTGGACCACATATAGTAACAAACTGTAATATAGACGACCCCGAAACATCCAGGCTGATTAGACAGTTACTACGAAACAAGAATACAAAGCGGTTGAATCCACCGCCAAATTTACACAAGAGGAACGCTATAACAGGACCAACAAAGGAACGACAAACAGATATGGGTAAACCAAAAAACCTAACACACATGAAATCACAAGCGGATAAAATAGAAGGAATCTCCACCATGGCCGGACAGACGCAGGAAGAATTGCTAAAGATAATTTCAAATCTGAACGACACAGTGCAAAAATTATCGCAGCAATTGGACGAAGAACGAAGAAAACAAGTGAAAGCGCCGGAAAAACATTACCTGAGCGGCAACAAATTTGCAGCCCTGGTAACTGAGGATGAGTCAGAATCGCTGTTCGAGACCGTAGCAGGTAAAGGAAAGAAGGACCCAGCGACATCGGGAAAGAAAAGGCAACACCCTCACCCAGATGTGCAACGTGAAACAAAAAAGAAGGACGTCACCAAGTCACCGACGACCATGAACAAAGAAGGCAGGGGTTTCCCAGGATCGCTAGGGTACGAGGCGGAAGGCGCGCAAAGGCCCAGGGAAGGTAAACCACCCCCAATTAACATAACGGGACAGTCACCGAAGGCGACCATAGAATTATTAAAACGGTCAGGTCTAGTAAATAACTTTTATGTAAAAAAAATTAATGCAAATAAGCAAATCCTACAAGTAGACAGTATAACAGATTTCCAAAAGTCCTGCATAATATTAAAGAACAATAGCATACCATACTTTACATATACCCCGAAAAACGATAGAGCGAAAATTATACTCCTAAAAAAGTTAGACGGCGATTTTGAAGCCGAAGAAGTTTTAACAGAGCTCCAAAACCAAAAAATAGAAGGGCTCAAGTTTGTCAGCGTAAACAAATTCCAGACCAGATACGCCATCAAAAATAATAAAAATCTTCCGATATTTTTAGTTAAGCTGTCTCCCGACAGCAAATTAGAAAAATTATCGTTAATAAAAGTCCTACTGCATTCGGTTGTAATGTGGGAAAAATTAAACAAAACCAGCCAGATCCAGTGTAGACGTTGCCAAAGGATAGGACATGCGGCGGCAAATTGCAACCTGGAATACAGGTGTGTAAAATGCGACGAAAAGCATAATCCGGGGGAGTGTAAGTTACTTCCTTTAAACCACGCAAATAGATCGGATAGTATAGACAAACCGTACTGCGTTCACTGCAAAAGTTTTGGACACCCTGCATCGTATAGGGGCTGTCCAAAACTTACGGAAATTAGAAATAGAATAGCAGAGAAAAGTGAACAACAAAAAATAGTCAAGCAAAAAAGATTAGATAGCATTAACAATATAGTAAATCCGAAAATCTCATTTAGTGAAATAGTCGCGAATAAAAGAAGTCCGCCTCCTATGTCATCATCTCAGCCACAAATTATATCAAAAATCACGAACACCTCACAGACATTCAAACATTTAGATAACCCCACACCCTCCCTTATTGAGGAAATTAGAAAGGCTATTACAGAGACCGTAAATACACAATTAAACAAAATAACAGCACAGATACAAGACAACGCCCGGAAGATAAATGCCATAGTAGACATACTTGACATAGATATATCATAAATGCCGCCTACAGCTAACAATAAAATTCTAGTCAATAGTTTAAATATAATATCTATAAATGTAAATTCACTAATCACCAACGAGAGACGAGCCTCGCTCGGTGACTTTCTTGAAATGCACAACCCGGATGTGCTGTTACTGTGCGAAACTAAACTTAATCCGATTCATAAACTTTCATTCCAAAATTACAGCATGATCAGAACAGACAGGCCCAATTCCAAACAGGGTGGGGGAACGGCTGTACTAATCCGAAAAGATCTCAAATTTAACGTAATGAACATCTGCAGTGAACAAGATAATCCGAGTCTAGAATACACAGCAATCGAGACGAAACTACCAGACGACCGTAAATTCTTTTTTGTAGCCGCTTACGCAACGAGCAACTGCAAAAAGGAATTTATGCAAGATCTCAAATGCCTTTTCGATCAACTGAAGTTAAACAACATCAATAACTACTATATCATTGCTGGCGATTTTAATGCAAAACATGTGTCCTGGGGCAACTCATTAAATAATAAGAGAGGGACTTCCTTGCACCTATGGCACCAGGAAAGCCAAGTTACTTTCAGGACAAGATTGCTCAGTACCGAAGAACCATCCTTCCCGAGCAGCAATTCATACCTGGACCTCTGCCTAGCCGATAGTAGAATTAAATTTCATAACCTCATATCTGGTAAAGTTAAATGCTTAGACTACGACAGTGACCATAAAGCCATGCACATGACAATCGCAATAGAATCCCACCCCCTATTAGCTTTCGATGCAGACAATTCAACTCAAAGAAGGAACTTCAATAATGTTGACTGGCCCAAATTCAAAAAATTCCTGCAAGACAACCACGAAGATTACGACATTCCAGACAATAGAAACTTAGCCAAAGATGAAATAGACATACAATTAGGGCAACTAAACGAACACATTTTAGAAGCAATGGACAATACAATCCCATACCACGACTTCAATAAAACATCTACAACTAAATTCATTACACCGCTGATTAAAAAGTTACGTAAAGAAAAAAGTTTTCTAATCACGCAAGTAAATAACATTTCCAAAAATAATTCGCTATCGCTAGCCGAGGAGATCCAGGTTAGAGTTCTGAAAAAGTTATTGAAAAACACTAGGCACAAGATAAAATTAGCTTTTCAGGCATCGGTAAGCAATTACTGGGAACAAAAAATTACAAACATTTCAAAACACAAGTCAAAAGATCTATTTCCAAAAATAAACAGTATATTCAGACATAAAACATCTAGTACAATAGAAACCCTTAAAATACCACAGAACTCACACACTCTACTGCAAGAAGCAAATGTTAATATAAATTCTCTTCAGAAAGATAACGACAATAATTACATCATTAACAAAACAACAGATAAATTAAATGTCATAGGCGCGCACTTCCAAAAAGTTCATTTACAGAACGATCACCTGGGGAAACCACACTTAACAAATATAATCAATAGAAAAATCAACGATTTAAAGCAGGAAATAGAAACGGACAAAAGAAATGAACACACCATTTGTAACTTTTCGGACCAAAATACTTCTAACAACCCCAATAGTTCACACATCCCAGAAAACTTCTTTACAAGCACAATTAAGTTAAGACTCACTTTTCGCAAACTTAACGGGAAAAAATCAGCCAGCTTTGACGAAATACCTAACATAGTATTAAAAAACCTACCGACACGATATATTTATTATTACGCAATCATATTTAATAACTGTCTAAACTTAGGGTATTTTCCCTCCGCATGGAAAACAGCTAAGTTAATCACTATCAAAAAGAAAGATAAAGAAGGGAACAACCCAACCAGTTACCGGCCAATAAGCTTACTACCCAATATCAGCAAAGTATTTGAAACCATCATCAACAATGCCATCAATAGTCACTGCACTGAAAAAAATATTATCCCAGAAACTCAGTTTGGATTTAGATTTCACCATTCCACCGTACATGCCATAACAAAATTCACTTCGGACATCTGCTGGGCTAGAAATGCCGGTGACTGCGTTGGGGCATGCTTCATAGATCTAGAAAAGGCATTTGATACTGTATGGTTAGACGGATTATTCTTCAAACTACTGAAAAAAGATTTCCCCAAGCATTTGATTAAAATGCTTTGGGATATGCTCCATGAGAAACGTTTTTTTGTCACAGAAGGCAATAGTAAATCCACCAGAGACTTCGTAATTGCTAACGGATTGCAACAAGGTACAGTTAATTCCCCCGTTCTGTTCAACATCTACATCAGTGACTTGCTCCAAATGTATGGCCTGAACAATACAGACGAAAAGAACAACAAATCAGCAATAGCCTTCGCGGATGACCTACTAATTTACATAAAAAACAGCAAACCATCGATCATAAAAACACAATTACAGGATCTATTTGAAAAAGTGCAGGACTATTTCCAAACCTGGAAATTAAAAATTAACACACATAAGTGTGAAACAATACTGTTTAGGCCATACATTTCGACCATCTCGAATGCAAGCAACGACGTTAGGAAAAATTCAAAAAACTTTTCATTACACGCAGTAAATAATATAAACGAGAAAATCCCCCGCAAAGATACAGTAAGGTACCTCGGTGTATATCTAGACTTCAAGCTAAACCATAATAACCATGTTAACATACAAATTCAAAAAGCTAGCAGAGCCTTCATAGCAAATAAAAGATTGTTTTACTCAAGAGAATTACACAAATCCGTAAAAATCATCTGTTATAAAACCTTGATAAGACCAATTCTAACGTACGGCTGTCAAATATGGTTTAATATTTGCGCCGGTACGATGGAAAAACTACGCGTCTTCGAAAGAAAATGCATTAGGGCCTGTCTGAGCAAGTATAGATCGCCAGAGTCGAACTATACTAAACTGATCAGTAATTACAAGTTATATGAAGAGGCTAAGCTAGTTCGCATCGACATTTTCATGCTAAAGTTAATCAGAGACCATTGGACCAAGGTACACAACATAACATCAAACACTCTCATAGCACACTCACTATACCCAAATCCACTATACTTCAATTACACCAGACACACAGGCTACACTCCTCCGGAATCCTTTGTCTACCTGGACGGCGAGGGGTATATTCAAAACAGCGACAATATACCGTTAATTTACCATTACAACCGAAGGACATTTGACAAAAAAATCCTATATGATAAAAATATACAAGCGGACGACATTAATTTAAGATTTATGTACAAATTATCAGCGATAGACTTAAGTGATAAGACCAGGAAAAATACTGACAAATACTGGTGGCTTTAACATATGATTAAGAACTCTCGTATTAAGATTTGACACAG